GAATGCTGCCTATGACCCCAAGAACACCATTCCCACCGTCAAACATGGAGGTGGAAACATTATGCTTTGGGGGTGTTTTTCTGCTAAGGGGACAGGACAACTTCACCGCATCAAAGGGACGATGGACGGGGCCATGTACCGTCAAATCTTTGGTGAGGACCTCCTTCCCTCAGCCAGGGCATTGAAAATGGGTCGTGGATGAGTATTCCAGCATGACAATGACCCAAAACACACGACCAAGGCAATAAAGGAGTGGCTCAAGAAGAAGCACATTAAGATTCTGGAGTGGCCTAGCCAGTCTCCAGACCTTAATCCCATAGAAAATCTGTGGTGGGAGCTGAAGGTTCGAGTTGCCAAACGTCAGCCTCGAAACCTTAATGACTTGGAGAAGATCTGCAAAGAGGAGTGGGACAAAATCCCTCCTGAGATGTGTGCAAACCTGGTGGCCAACTACAATAAACGTCTGACCTCTGTGATTGCCAACAAGGGTTTTGCCACCAAGTACTAAGTCATGTTTTGCAGAGGGGTCAAATACTTATTTCCCTCATTAAAATGCAAATCAATTTATAACATTTTTGATATGCGTTTTTCTGGATTTTTTTATTGTTTTTCTGTCTCTCACTGTTCAAATAAACCTACCATTAAAATTATAGACTGATCATTTCTTTATTCTTGGTTCTTTCGGTAAAGTCACGTAGAAGGGAAACAATAAAATAATAAAAATATAAAACAATAAAATTATCACGACGTTTCGACTGCAACACAAGCAATCATCATCAGGTGTGAAAACCACAGCAAGAAAACCGCCACTTTTTTCAAATTTTCTTGCTGTGGTTTTCACACCTGATGATGATTGCTTGTGTTGCAGTCGAAATGTCGTGAGAATTGTATTGTTTTATATTTGTATTATTTTATTGTTTCCCTTCTACGTGACTTTACCGAAAGAACCAAGAATATGAATCCCTGCAGTCACGAAAGCTTTAAATCAAAATTTGGTCAATTCTTTGTCAGTGGGCAAACGTACAAAATCAGCAGGGGATCAAATACTTTTTTCCCTCACTGTATTGTACCCTGGCAAGGATAAAATTCAGTTTGTCTGAATTTATGGGCACAGAGATGTGGCACAGAGGCTTATCCCACTGAGCCAGCCAGCGCTGTGACACTTTGCACCCGTGGCTTTGCCAGCCACTGATGATGTGCATCTTCAGGGCACAGTCAACATCGAGGAGATCGGCCTGAAAGGGAAATGGAATGTGACGTATGTAATGAACGTGAAGTATGGTTACCGTGACACGGGACACTCGGGCTGCGCTTCCCAATAACCAATTGTAACCGAGCCAGCAACAACAAAAACAGGTTTGTTTTGCTGTCTGTTCATTTACCGTTTGAAATGTATGTTTTATGTAAATTGACACCATGGTGATGTGGAGCCCTGTGTCAATCCACTGCTGTTTGAAGACCCCCTCCCCATGCTGTGTCAGTTGTGGGGAGGGTGGGAGGTGTTGTTTGACCATGCTTCACCATGAGGTAGTGTAGTTGGGTGAAGGGGGCACCACCAACTGGTGCATATCTCTATTTTATATAGTTTTTTTTATTCAAATATTTAACCTGCAAAAGCCCTTCAGATGGAACGTCTCGTTTGGAAAGGTGTATATCACCAGCCACTGATGTTAGCTGTGGCAGGGAATTGAGCTCGGGTTGTTCAGTTTACTGTGTAGTGCATTAAATCACTGCACCACCACCGCTCTAACCCTAACAATATGTTGACGCCAAAGTAAATGATACATTCTGTGAACATATTTACGTTCGGCATGACATATTGACACACAGCTGAGTCATTACATTTGTATTATAAATGTAAACCGATGTTCTTAACCAAATAAAAGAGCTGGTTGATTATGCAATTAGCGGAGAGGTGGTAGAGTTCTTCACAGGGGAAAAATTATAAAACATAACTCTCTGGTGGCATAACAGGCATGTCTGCGATCATCACAGTCTGCGTGTCTTGGGATGATTCATATTTCACACCAAAAGAGCTCTTAAAAAAACATTAATCGTAAGCCAGCCAGGCATGGATGAGGGCTGGCTACAGGAGAGGGGGATATGTTGGTAAGATTGCTCGCACGTCCCAGCTGTTTGTACTTTAGCTTGTTTGGAGGAGCACGAGGTTTTTTAGTGCTGACGATTACAATCTTGTCTGATCTGCCTTGTAATGGTATCCCACTGTGCAGGCTTTCGGTGCATAAGGCCACAAAAAATAGAATATCTAATTTGAGCTTTAATAGATGTGGGCTGTTAGGTAATGCAACGGACAAAGTATATTTATGAGCTCATTATTATGGTAAATCCCAAAATCCATCATAGGCCAGTTAGTTGGTCGTAATTCATCCATGCAGCTGGGAAATTCACAAATGTCTGGAATAAAATTTTGGGAGTAGCAGATGTCAGATTTGAGGTCAAACCACCTACACTGCCTGTGCTGCAGTGTAGGACGCTGCTGTGAAGTTGGAAACAGTCGCCCTCCAACAGGAATGTAGAGCAGAGGAGCGATGCTCACAACAACGAGCCCCAGGTGGCTAAAACGCAGCAATTTGGCACAGTAGGAGGGGCACAGCTGGGGCATCTGCCAGTCATCTTAGACAGGCAACTCATGGCACCTGGGTCTGTCCCGTGACCCCCTGTCAGCGAGCCCTTCGACACTTCACGTAGCCTCAAAGTGCACCTGGACTGGCACAGGCGCCGTGGTGACGTCGCCACCACTTAGTGGCGGATGGCGGCTGTTGTTGTTGTCCTCGGTACTGATGCAGAGCAGCAGGCACGTGTGTTCCAGCTCTCGGGTCTGTTCACAGCCACCAGTCTCTGCCATTGACCCTTAAAACAATACGTCTAGAATGCAGTGAATGTGTGGAGGAGTGAAATACGCGGTGTGCACAGTTGACCGACGTCATCTGACGCGCTGCCGCTCCAGCCGTCAACGGGACCTCAACCCTCACGCCGTCGCCGGGCGGGTGTTGGCTGATCCCCCCGCCCGGAACAGACGGGTGAGCGGCTCTCAGAGGGAGCGTAGGTGGGGGCAGCGCTGGAGATGTAGAGACGCTGTGTGCGGAGTCGCTGTGTGCGGAGTCGCTGTGTGCGAAGACGCTGTGTGCGAAGACGCTGTGTGTGAAGTCGCTGTGTGCGGAGACGCTGTGTGCGGAGACGCTGTGTGCGGAGACGCTGTGTGCGGAGTCGCAGTGTGCGAAGACGCTGTGTGTGAAGTCGCTGTGTGCGGAGACGCTGTGTGCGAAGACGCTGTGTGTGAAGTCGCTGTGTGCGGAGACGCTGCGTGCGGAGTCGCTGAGAGCAAAGCTGCTTAGTGCAGAATAAGCGAGGTGGAATGTAGATAAGAGTGGGGAGAAGTGACCGTATAGATAGTTAAAGGAGTGCCTACAACTGGTGCACGAATAGGTGAATAAAGTGTAAGCAGGTGACTTGTTACGTGTTGGTGTGAGTGATTTTAGAAGACGCTACATATGTACTGTTGTGCAGTATTTACCATTCCCCGCACCCTGATGAATTTAGGTATTTTGCAAAACATGTGTTGACGGTGTGTTATCTGTATCCTGCTGTCAATGCCATTTGTTCTGCTGCGATTAAACCCTGCCACTTCATTGGCCGAACGATGCGTGTTGGCGATGCCTCCGAGGGTCATTAAAAGTATCTCCAGAAGTCTACCAAAAACCTTTTGTCGTCTGGCATCCTAGGGAACAGAGTTTCAAGCCATTGATGCAGCCCACGGTGCTGTCAAGTGCTGGAGCCGTACATCGACTTTATGGGCCCTCCTTCAGTGGAGGGATCAGTTACCCCTGTCGGTTGCACCAATGTATAAAGGAAGTAAATATAAATCTAATGTCAGTGTCTCCCGGTCAGTTGACATGGGATGTGCTTATCTCGCTCTTGGTGGCCCTGAGCCATTAGGGGGAAGTTTTGCAATCCTGTGGCAAGTGTCGGTCTCCCCAAAGGACAACCAGGGAAGTGACTTGTGTGGTTACTGCTCATACTTGATATGAATTCGTGTAAGGCGTTTGCGTGCATTGTGGTGGTTGGTAGTTACACTGTCTCTCTAAATTAAATGTAATGCCCAACAATGTGGTTCGTTAGCATGCTTACAAATATCTTACTATGTTCTGTGCGTACGTGTTTGTTATTATTTTCATTTTTAACGTACGAGACCAGGCAAAAGTAGTAAAAATAGCATTCTGCAAGCGGCAGTTAACCTATTCAGGGGCTTTTGATTGAATTCCGGGCAGCAGACGGGGTTGTTGCCGTGATGTGTCTGTACCCGTGTGCTATGCTCGGCTATTTTTGGAAATGGCCCAGTGGGAGGGAATTTGAGTGTCTTACTAGAGTGACCATAATGAATAATAAGTCAGTACCATGTTTGCCTGCAAACGCGCGTACACACGCGCACATACGTACCTTTGTATGTGCACTGTCTTATTTAATTACATCACTTTATTTGAGCCAATTTTCTCATGACTTGAAATAAGCAGCCAATAAAACAAGAGCATAATTATTAAGGCGATTCATTTTTACCTTCACAATTTATTCACAAATATCACTACATCACACGGTTTGATATTTTTTCGTGGAATAAAAAACACCTTTTCCCGAGGCTTTAGCCCAAAATCTGATTTGTCTGAAGAGACCTCAACATTTTAGAGTCGGATGAATGATTTATACATAAAGATGAGCATTTTGCGTGTTTAATGCATTGCACGAGATTGCAGCTCATCGCTTTTTTAACATCGGTCGACCTGAAACTCAGCCGGTGGATTTTTCTCATGAAATTCTGAGCGAATAAATGGCCATGGGAAGGTGTTGAATGACATCCTGCGCGAGTGACGGACGCACTAAATTCGGGTTTCTGCCTGGTTGTAATAGTTAATGTATGCTCCCGAGTGTTTCGATGCACACGGTCGCCTCGGTGATTCCCCTGATGATGTTTTCTTCCGCCGCAGATGGTGAACGAGACGAAGAACCTGATTGAAAGTTCCGAGTCCCTGTACAACAAAATCATCCACTGCCAGAAGGCAGGTGAGAAATTATCCGTCGATCGTCTCCGACAAAAGAGATTGCTCTGTGAATAAATAGAGCTGGTCACCGAGAGCTCTATGTATTCACAGGGAACGCCATCCCCTGGCTTCTTGCTCTGAAGAGGCTTGAGGTGGTGGACAGGTGACTCCCCAAGATCAATATCGGCTCAAAATGATAGCCACTGTTGTCTGGCACGTATTGTTAGAACACAACACGTTTGTGTGTGTACGTGTGTGTGGAGATGTGGGAGAATGGTGACGCAGTGGTTAGCGCGCTGCACTATGAGCCTGGCAACCCGAGTTTGATTTCCACTCGTGGCTCGTGACGGTTATCTTTACCGGTCCTGGGCCTCCCCAAGGTTTACTCAACCTCAAATGTGTACCTGGTGTGATGTGCAAACATTGGGACTGGTAAGGCAGCCGGGCGTGGTGCTGGCCACCCTCCCCCTCTTGTGTCGTGGCCGGCCTTCACAGGTGCTACTCGCTTACAGCACTTGTCTGTTAAGGCCATACGGGGGATATTTGCCTTTGCACGCGGAGATAGAAAGAGTAAGTCTAGCTGGCATTTCATGCCGGCACCCGTGATCCTTCCACTTGGCCGTGAACGGTGACGTCCGAGTGAAGCCTGCAATGTTGCTCGCCGCTCCTCAGGGGCACAGTTTATCACTCGGCCTGGCAAGGTTGTTTATTTGTGAACCTATTTTTTTGATGTCGCCAGTTTAGAATTTTCATGCGTTGATATGTTGTTATTTTTTATTTTTAAAGGTGTGCTATCTAACAATTTTTTGCGCATCGCTATTTCCGTGGCTTGGCTACATTTTGCACAACTGTAACGCGATGGCACCCCGCGAATTACATCTCCCCCACCCCCCCCCATTTTTTTAAAGACCGAATGCTGTTTTTCCTCCTGTGCGTTGGTCACTTTGCCATACTGTACAATGAACATGTTCGGGGGAAGCTTTGCAAAGCGTGTCTTTTTTTTTCTCGCAGCTGCGTAGAGCACACGCCGATCCCAATGCGCGTGAACCCAGGTGCGCCCGCATGGGCGACTGATTGCGGCACTGTCAAACCCCTTGCCACTCGCTGCACTCCATGCGAGGCCCTTCGCACTGATGTGATCTGATAACTGTTGTTGTGCCAACCAGGGGCAGCAGGTGCCCAGAGCCCGGAGAGTTTTTTTGCGATGCCGTTTGTGGACATTTTTTTGGGTCGATGGTAATCGACCCAAAACCCCACCTCGTTACTAGCCATTGTTGCACCGACATTAAACCAGAGAGGTTTGTCGCAGTAATTACTCCAAATTGTAAAGCTTACATTTAGAAGCCGCTACTTTTAAGTTATTTTCAAAAATGTTGTTTGCGATGCAAACAATGCTAACCTAATTCAGAACATTTGTACATAATTTCCAGCGTGGTCAAGATGAAGGTGAGAGAATGGATGTCTGATTCCATGGCTTAGAAGGGTTGTTAGCAAAGCAAAAAGTGTTGTTTGCAAAGCAAACAATTATAACCTGATTTTAAATTAATTTACATAATTTATTGCGTGGTGAAGATGAGAGGTTAGATTTCCGATTCCAAGGCTCAGAATGGTTGCATTGGCTGCAGGGTCCTGGTGTCCCTGGCAAAAGAGGCTCAGTGTCTCAGTGGGCTGTTGTTGCCTGGCTTAAATAAGATGAATAATGGCAGGAATGTGTGCTATACATGGCTCACGTCAAAAATAAGACCCTGGAGACTGTAGAAGTTAAAGTCGGTGTTTTGGACCATTCACGTTTACCAAATATAGTGCTGCAGATTTTGCTTGTCCAGAAAATTCTGATTGCTCTCAAGTAGAATAAAGCGATGTCAGAAGAAATATTTACACGAGAGTAGGCTTTCTTATCACTTGCCAAGATTATATAATGCCACAAATATGAGAAAGTGAGGACTCATTCTCTAATTAATGATACATTCTTGTATATAATCACTCTGTAGACTGCAAGCTGGAACAGTGCAAATTGCACTCTTGGTATAAGCGACAATGTTTGTTCCCCATTGTCATGGAATGATATAAGCTCGCGAGCCGATCTATTCTATTGATGAGAAACATCTCGGTAGATTTGTTGCTTTAAAAGTGACCACGATAGATCTGACAATGACCAGAAACGACACATTCGTTCATTCTCATAGAGAGGGACACAAGCAACTGCTTTAGGTACAGCGCTGCCAAATGCGAGAGTTTTAATGCCTCCCATTTATCCACTGAGCTGTTGTTCATTCACGTTGGCTGTCAATAACACAATTCCATGCTCTCTACTTCCATTGGCCCTTGCACAACGGGCTCTTAAAGTAATTTTCCCAAACGTGTTTCCAAATGCCCATGCAATCGCTATGATTTCTGTTTGTTGTGTTTAGTTTGTTGTCCTTCCCCCGCACCTCCGATTAGCACGGTTGGCTACGTATGGTGCGAAGGAAGCTCAACATACACACATACATTTTGCCGATATGTTTATTGATTAATGCACATTCCATTATCGTCATCATCATCAGTCATGATCGATTTACTGCTGAATGAAGGCATCCTCAAGCTGTTGCCAACTAAATTAATTCGTTATGAAAATAATTAACAATGACAAAAATTTATTGCACAAAGCCTTGCCGGTATGCCTCGGAAGAGTGATCTTTATACCCCTTGGGTGACTTTTTTTTTGCGCCAGAATAGCATCGAAGAAACTGTTATGCCATTGCACACAGAAAAATACTCAGTTGGACAAAATTAAGCCCCAGTAAAATTTGAAATGCTCATCTTGGACCTCGTAAATGTGCCATTGGTGTAGTCAATGCTGTTTTATATTTTTTTATTTGCCACTCGTAGGCTCGCTGTCAGTAAGAGAACACTCTGCGAGATATCTCTGTACTTTACTTTTGTTGTAAAGCTGTGGGATTGTCTACAAGCTTTTTACTCACCGCAGGATGACGAAACTGCTCTGAGTAATTCTGAGTTAACAGCCCTTTGTTAATCCACTAACGAATGAGAGCCTCTCCATGCTATGTTGTTAATAGGAGTTTCTTGATTATACATAATACGTTTTTTTTAGTTAGATCACGTAAATATATTAAACCCACCACCGCCCGACACAGCCAATTGCTTGATTTTACTTCACTACACTGGTCAGTTTGGGGTTGATGCAGTGGGAGTCAATGACCGGTTCATATATTTCTCGCTACCGATGTTAACCACAGCTGGGAATCAAACCCAGGTCAACAGGATTGATAGAACAGTGTGCGGACCACTGGAACCAGTCTATCCCATTCAAGCATGTCTTTGTTTCAACATGTGTGAACTGCAAATTTGCAAATATTTATTCTTGTATAGACTTGCATCTTGGTCACTGCAAGTGGTGGCATCTTGTCGCAGTGATATGTGCTGGATTTGTTATTGAGGCTTAATTTGTCACACACACACACACTGCACCCACTTGCCCACAGGTAATTGTCACGTGAAGGTGGCACACCACCACCGCTACCTGCCCCATCCACTGCATGCGAGTTGTTAATAGAGGCACTTTGTATAGATCTTCGTAGTTCTAAAAGGACAAAAAAATGATAATGCTGCGTTGACATTGGCGCACAGTCAGAAAAAACGCAATACTGTCAAGAACACTGCCTTAAGATACATGTACTCAATAGCTACTATTAGGTAACTATTTATATGCCTATTTAAAAAAAAATGGTCATCAAAATCATGATTTTAAGTAAAGTGCCGTCTCTCCAACCCTTATTTACTCTATCTCTGGCCCCTCTCTATTTGTGTTCTGAAGAAGGTCCATTGCCCAAAACGTTCTGGATATATCTTTCTTTCAATGCGATATTATTTCTGAATGTGAGTTTTTTTTTCACCAATTGTGTACAAAATAGTTTTTGGATTTAATTAACGCACCAATTTAGATAGTAATACGAATGCAATTCTTTTCTCAATTTGTCAAGAGTCGGGGGGCCACCACAGAGTTCTTTGGAAGAATATAAAACACACACACACACACACACACGAGCAAAACCTGTTTTGCGAGAACTCTTGTCGTGAAAACTTGTGTATTCTCATGTGTGCCGCGTTGAGTTTGCGTCAACTTGTCTGTGCGCGCAGTTGTATCGGGTGTGTGTGTGCGCGCGCGCCTCTGTGCTTGAGCAGGTCTGGAGCTGCACGAAGACCTCCCTAATGCGGGAGCCAAGGATGGCCTCAAGGGCCGTAAGCTGAGCAAGGCGTTGGAGAGCTTCGCTTGGAACATCACCGTGCTGAAGGTATAAAGCACTCCCACACAAAGGCAGTGAACAGCAGCAGCACCTAGGCGTTGACTTTTGCGACTGCAGGCAGGGAACGCGCAAGTCCAGGGTAGACCTCCGTCGTACACGTGACACTGTGTGTGAGCAGCTTTGTTGTGTCTTTTGGGTAATGTGCTGGTTAAGGTGTACAGGTTTTGCCGACAGTAAATTGTCAACTGACAGCATTGCCGGCCCGTTCCAAGATTTTGTTTCCTTCCTTTCCTCCAGCGCACGGCAACCAATTTATTATCATTAACGCCACCAGGCTGCTTCGCAGAGAGAGAGAGAGACAGTCTGTCAGCTAGGGTTTAGATAAAGAGACGAGTGGGTGGCAGCCATGAAGTAGAATCAATGGAATCCCTGAGCTGATTAATCCAGCGAGGGTGTTTCCCAGGGAAGGGATTTCGAACATTTGTAATGTCAAGTCATGGGCTAGGCACACGTGGTTAGCAGATTCCGCTGGTTGTAGTGGCCATTGAGGCATCCTACATGTAGTGGTATTCATTGTACGTATGTAGACCACCTTTCGCACCGTACGTAGTCAACCTTGCTCATCGGAGGTGCGGGAATTACGCACATTTTCATCGTGTGCGGAATCGCCACGCCATGCAATAACACCCTTGGTGGGCATGTGTAGTTCTCGTAGACCTCCACTGTGCTTCGTCAGTGGACAGTCCATCAACAATATGCGACATTGTTTGTTTATGAAGCCACAGTCACGTTTAGTGGCAACGATAAATCTAGAACTTAGCTCGACTGTGGTTTTGTAACTAGAATTTATGATTCATAATTAACTTTTTAAGTCAGATCGCACAAGTAAATCTTCCTCCACCCGAAACAGCCAATTAATAAAGTTGCCACATAAACAAACGTGCCAATTTATTTCTGCTTCGGCACCCCAGTTGCGTTGGAGGGCAATGTCACAACATTTAACATTTGTGTGCAAAGTTTCATTGATGGTTACAACCAGCATCATCAGGCAGAAGCCGTGATTGTGAAAATGTCCGAGTCTTTTGGCTTTAAATCGGGGGTGTGATGTCGTCAATGTGCACCCACAAGGGAGGAGGAAGTGATCCTTCGCAGTTAATGTAACATCACATATTACAATGTGGTTGCATACCCGATGATGTTTTAGTTTACGTTGAACTACTTCAGATATGGAATTTATTAAAATGTGGAGTCATTACGTAACATCTCCGTCTGTAAAGCGTCTAAATGCAACCGCATTTAAAGACACTGCACAAAAAACAGTGGGATGTGCTTCATTGGGAAAATGACGGCATCGATATCTTGAAGAATAATTTCAGCGTAGTAAGGCGCACAGTATTTGGCCACGATCGCCTCCGCAGTGGTAGACTACAGGCATGCATAGCCACCGCTTCCCGGTTATATAAGACCCACATGAGCCTCGCTCTGCACAGTTTCTGTTTGCACGGATTCACAGCTGGTACGCTGTTTTGTTCACCACCAAAAATTCGGAAAAGCACCACAGGGTGCGGTTCGCAGCTGCTTCGGTTGAGGAGCAGGAGTTGCAAGGCAGTGCCAGGGTGCACGCCTGGTATGCAGGAGGTAATAGGTTTCATCCCGACCCTGACGCCTATATATTTGGAGTTTGCATGTTCTCCCCGTAGTCACGTGGATTTTTCTCTGGATCCTCTGGTTTTTACCTCCACATTTAGAAACATGTGTAGAGAGTATTTGGCCGTGATACATTTCCACATTGATGAGCCACTTCGTTGAGCTATCATTTGTGACCAGGTCGCTTTCTGAAAAAGAGTTATATAGCACAAGTGGGCCTTACCTGGTAAAACAAAAATACACCTTATAGTTTTAATCGTTTTTACACTTTTAATAGAACATCTTCAGCAGAAACTCCCTGCAGGTTATTTTTGTGGAGACAATACACTGGGAGAGGAAGCGCGGGAGAGCACACCGTGAAGCCGCTGCCAAGGTCGTGAACTCCAGGCTTCCACCCCCCCCCCCCATATCGAAACAAACACAACTCGACGGGGGTGTTTTGAACGGCTCTCTCTCCTTCGCATGGTATTCAAACACCAACAGGCTGAGTGTAGAACTATATTTTTTACTTTTGAAAGCCATTCGAAGGTGTATGTAGGTCACAAGATTGATTCCGTTTTGTAGCCCTCTGCAAAAGCATACATTGGAGTTGCGCTTGAACACCCCCCCCCCGTCCTCCTGGCAGAGGTGAGAGCTGGCAGCAGGGCGAGTTGCCACGTGATACATCTGAAACTAACAGTGGCCAAAGGTGCGCCACGGTCGCGAGATGTTAACTATCTCGCCTGGTGTACAGGAGGTCGTGGGTTCGATCCCGACCCTGACGCCTGCTGTATATTTAGAGTTTGCCTGGCTCTCTCTGTGGTGGAAGGGATTTTTCTCCGGGTCCTCCGGTTTTTCCCTCCACCTTTAGAAAAAATGCATTTAGAATATTAGGCTGCTATAAATTTCCACATGAGCCACTTCGTTGAGCTATCATTTTTGGTCAGTTCGCTTCTAGCTGTATAGTTCAGTGTACCTTACCTGGTAAAATAAAAATTGTTTATAGTTCAGTTCTCTCACGAGCCGATGGGTAAATCTCACAGGCAGCACGGATCCTATCGATGGAGCCTGTTGAGCATAACTCCTTGAGGATTCTGCCAATCTTGGGGTCATCCTTGATTCAAAACTGACTTTTCAAGATCACATTGATTATATTGGTAAAAAGACAAAAGTAAAAATTGGTTTTCTGTATCGAGACAAGCACTGCTTCCCCCCTATGCTCCGCTTGGAATTGATAAAAGCTACCGTACTGCCTCTACTTGATTACTGTGACATCGTATATAAATCAGCCCCCAGTACTTTACTGAAGAAGCTTGACTCAATTTATCACTCGGCCTTAAGATTTGCATTGAACTGCCCATATAGGACCCACCACTGCGATCTCTACATTGGGTCAAACTTAACATCTCTTAATGATCGACGGCTTGTGCATCAGATTTGATTTATTCACGATGTACTTACAAAAAATCCGCAGACTACCTGCTGGATCTCCTCACTTTTTCGAAGAACAAATGTGACCTAAGGTTTTCGCTCATTTACCAGCTTCACGTTCCTAATTGCCGTACAAATACTGGAGGAAGGGCCTTTGCTATTGATGCCCCCAGGGCCTGGAACGCTATCGCCAATAAACTGCAACTTGGATTTACTACCTGTGAGATCTTCACTCAAAACTGCTCTAGAGGAGTTGTATACCCCTAGCTGCAACTGCTATTCAGTGGCCTGAAATAAAATGTATCGCTCCGGATAACCGCTACAAAGTATGATCTTGAGTTTTGATTATAGTGTGCTGATCTTTAAAGGTGCATTGAAAATGTTTGATACTCCTACTGATACTCCTGCTGTTATGGAGTGACTCATGCTGCCAGCTATGGCTGCAAAGTTTGGTCGTACATGTTATATATATATTTCGTTTCTTGTTAAATTTGAATCACAGTTCCTATTATCACTGTTACATTTTTTTATAGCTTTATTTTGGTGATTTCGAAAACGTTTTGGTTTAGCCATGTTTGTTTGTTGTAGTGCAGAGTTAGACTGATAACTTTATTCTAAATTGTCTTATGGTTGTTATTGTTTGACTTGCATCCCACTGGGACTGTTGCACACAGCATTGATATACGGTGCTTTTTCTGGAAGACTTTGCTGTTTTTATCCTGGATCTTTCTGTTGCGCGTAGTCACTTTAAGATGTTTATTGTTCATGTTTTTGTTTGTTGCGGTTGCTCCCGATTCAAGAGCCGAATGAACTGAACTGAACAATCGGCAGACTCGTGGAAATCCCTCGTAAATTTGCCAAGCCACTGGAAAGTCGAGGCCCATAAGGTGGCTACCGATGGCCGATTTGTGGAAATCGCTGAAGCTCATACGACGTCAAAGTGACTGAGTGGATCGTCATGCCCGCTCGGTGTGCTGCTAAAGCCATTATTGTTTCAAACTGGAGGGGGGGCGGGGGGTGGTGGAAGCTTGAATCGTAACCTTCACAGCTTAGCGTGTATGCTGTGAAGATATCCGTGGTCGTGTCCAGTTAAGTTCTTCCAAATGCTGATTAAAGAAGTTTTGCATGCATACATTTCGCCTATACATTTATTGATTATCATAGACATCATCATCATCATTGTCAGCCATGATGATCTACTGCTGGATGAAGGCATCCTCAAGCTGTTGCCAACTACATATATACAGTGAGGGAAAAAAGTATTTGATCCCCTGCTGATTTTGTACGTTTGCCCACTGACAAAGAAATGATCAGTCTATAATTTTAATGGTAGGTTTATTTGAACAGTGAGAGACAGAATAACAAAAACAAATCCAGAAAAGCGCATGTCAAAAATGTTATAAATTGATTTGCATTTTAATGAGGGAAATATATATTTGACCCCTCTGCAAAACATGGCTTAGTACTTGGTGGCAAAACCCTTGTTGGCAATCACAGAGGTCAGACGTTTATTGTAGTTGGCCACCAGGTTTGCACACATCTCAGGAGGGATTTTGTCCCACTCCTCTTTGCAGATCTTCTCCAAGTCATTAAGGTTTCGAGGCTGACGTTTGGCAACTCGAACCTTCAGCTCCCTCCACCGATTTTCTATGGGATTAAGGTCTGGAGACTGGCTAGGCCACTCCAGGACCTTAATGTGCTTCTTCTTGAGCCACTGCTTTGTTGCCTTGGCCGTGTGTTTTGAGTCATTGTCATGCTGGAATACCCATCCACGACCCATTTTCAATACCCTGGCTGAGGGAAGGAGGTTCTCACCCAAGATTTGACGGTACATGGCCCCATCCATCGTCCCTTTGATGCGGTGAAGTTGTCCTGTCCCCTTAGCAGAAAAACACCCCCAAAGCATAATGTTTCCACCTCCATGTTTGACGGTGGGGATGGTGTTCTTGGGGTCATAGGCAGCATTCGTCCTCCTCCAAACACGGCGAGTTGAGTTGATGCCAAAGAGCTCCATTTTGGTCTCATCTGACCACAACACTTTCACTCAGTTGTCCTCTGAATCATTCAGATGTTCATTGGCAAACTTCAGACGGGCATGTATATGTGCTTTCTTGAGCAGGGGGACCTTGCGGGCGCTGCAGGATTTCAGTCCTTCACGGCGTAGTGTGTTACGAATTGTTTCTTGGTGACTATGGTCCCAGCTGCCTTGAGATCATTGACAAGATCCTCCCGTGTAGTTCTGGGCTGATTTCTCACCGTTCTCATGATCATTGCAACTCCACGAGGTGAGATCTTGCATGGAGTCCCAGGCCGAGGGAGATTGACAGTTCTTTTGTGTTTCTTCCATTTGCGAATAATCGCGCCAACTGTTGTCACCTCACCAAGCTGCTTGGCAATGGTCTTGTAGCCCATTCCAGCCTTGTGTAGGTCTACAATCTTGTTCCTGACATCCTTGGAGAGCTCTTTGGTCTTAGCCATGGTGGAGAGTTTGGAATCTGATTGATTGATTGATTGCTTCTGTGGACAGGTGTCTTTTATACAGGTAACAAGCTGAGATTAGGAGCACTCCCTTTAAGAGTGTGCTCCTAATCTCAGCTCGTTACCTGTATAAAAGACACCTGGGAGCCAGAAATCTTTCTGATTGAGAGGGGTCAAATACTTATTCCCCTCATTAAAATGCAAATCAATTTATAAAAATTTTGACATGCGTTTTTCTGGATTGTTTTGTTGTTATTCTGTCTCTCACTGTTCAAATAAATCTACCATTAAAATTATAGACTGATCATTTCTTTGTCAGTGGGCAAACGTCCAAAATCAGCAGGGGATCAAATACTTTTTTTCCTCACTGTACATGCTCATCGGGTTGTGTGGCAAGTATGTATCTATGTACGTTGAACTTCTTTCGCACTGTACGTGGCCAACTGTACAACAATCGGAGGCACTATTGATGCCACATCAATGATCAGTTTCATTTGTAAAAAAATAAATCATCATATTTCTACTTCAGTTATGAAGAAACTTTAGAATTTTCCATCATTTATTTGGATGTCTATGAGAGTAAAATTGTACAAGGTTAAACCAGTATTACAAGACGGCTATCACAAAGGGCACCCCATAGACCTTGGACATATCATTTTACTGACATGTTTATGCCACGTATGTAGGTCATGGAATAAAACTCGCGTAAAAAATACTGAAAGTTTATACAGTGCACAAGTATTTAACTCGCCAGATGCATTTGCACGTTACGTGTTCCGATGCCAATTCGCGACTACGATATTTCATTCCTCCATCGAAGCCCACGATTACCGCGTAATTGCTTTTCGACTCGGCGCGCGTATCTGTGTAAAAGTCGTCGCACACCTTGGCTCATCCTGCTTTGCCTGACTCTGCTTCGCGGGAACACCCAGGGCCAGGCTGACCTCCTGCGCAAGGCCAAGGCGGAGGCGCTGGAGAACCTGCGGCAGATCCACCTCGGGGCGCTGTCGTTCGGCCTCGACCAGCCGGCCGGCACAGGCGTGAGCGTGGGAACCGGCTCCCGACGCTCCCGGCACGGCACGGGTTCCGGCTCGGGCTCGGGTTCAGGTTCAGGTTCGGGCTCGTGCTCGGAGGCGGCCCTGTCCCGCCAGGGCACCGGCGGCTCTCTTCAAGACCGCGAGGGCAGAATGCCGAGCAAGCAGTGAACGCTTGCCCCCCCCCCCCCCCCCCCCATTGCAAGAGCCACGTCCCTCGATCTCAGCAGCGTTCCCACGTCCGTGCTATGTTTTGTAACCACCGAGTGGATGAGGTCAGTGGGTGGAACCAGCAGAGTTTAGCTGTGAACATTGCAATACGATCAAAACCTGTGCTTTGTGCTTTCACCTTTTTTTGCAAAAAGCAGCTAAGCTTAAGCAGTCAATGAATTTCGCGTCGGCGGGTAAATGCAGTGGGTTTCTTTAGCGGCCCAAATAGTGTCAGACATTTTTATTGCAATTTTATTTTAATATACTTGATTCAAAAAGGAAATCTATTCTTTCCTTTTATTTGAAATGTTTCCTCCTGCCTTGTAGCTTCTAACAGAAAGCATAGAAAGGCTGTTTTTAATTAACTTCCCATCACTTCGCACACCACGCAACTTTGGACATTTCATCAGTGTGGACTCTGTACAGACACCCCAAAGGGCCTATCCTGGGACTGGGCCTGAATCCAGCCAGGGGGACTCAACTTCCCTGTGCATTCACCCACATTGCAGACCGTCGACTCCCAACGTTACCCCCCCCCCTCCTCCTGAGCTGGGTCATTGAACAAATATCATAGAATACCAATTCACAGCCCCCCCCCCCCCCCAAGCAGCACGGTAAGTGACCAGATTCAATCCCTTCAAGACGTACGTTGCGGGCCATATCTTTTAGATGGTAACAGAAGGACTTTATTTACTTCCTTGATCTCTTTTAACTGTAATAAGTACATGAATTGTACAAGGTGTTGAGGAGCATTGGCACAGTGGCCAAAGCTTCACTGGGTATGTAGATGTGTTGGGCTGAAAGTGGCGGCTTTTGCTTGCACAATCAGCAACACTTAACATCAAAGCAGAATGTTACAGCAATGGGTGGATTATTGCAAATTACTTTGTAGCGTACTTTGGTTTTCGGTATGCGTGTTTGATTTGGTTGTGAATTATGTCATGCAAAGTTGATGGATCCAAACCCAGTCCCTACCTCAAGCCGCTGTCAAAGTTTATGTCCATGCATAACTGAGGCTGAGTTTCATCATGCAATTTGAATAGCAGGAAAACCAAGGTGTTAAACGGTAGAAAAATGTACCGAAGAGCGGTGATCAGAGACATTTCGCAGGAGGATGCATCAGCCTAAGTAGACGATGACCGTACGACACGAACATAATATTACATGCCTCACTTAAATGATCATAGTGTACGGTCGAAAACACGGAAAATTAAGTACGACGGTTTAATTGCCGCAATATAACCAAGAGTAAACTTGATGCTTGGTAAATTTGCGCAGTGCGGAAATGGTTACACGGAGTGAATTTCAAATGGAAACCTTCCGAGATGAGTCATTTAGAGAAACACTTGTAAAGTCTTTTGTTATTGTTTCCCCACGTAGCTTATATAATGGGCAATGGTACGGAAGAACTGTAAAGTGCAGCTTGCTTATTTCACGTTGATCTATTTCAAAATATATATACATTGATTATCAACTCGACTGTCATGTTGTTTGCAGGCTAATGGCTTGTGTCGCATTTGTGAAACTTTTATCGCTGTTTGTTTGCAGTTCGTACTAAGAGGATATGTTTGTGTTTGGTCATGATCATGCATATGATCCCACATGGACCTGTGTGTATTAGAAACCTTCACCGTTTATGATCCCAGAGGTGTAAAACTGTCTCGTCCACACAAACCCCGGCCCCTCTTGGTGTGCGTGTGGGCCCCTTAAGTAGGTGAATGGGAAGGAACAAAAACATTTAAAAGTTACTGATTTTAAGTTTAAGTAGGGCGGAGTGTTTCATGTTTTTGCCGTCACGTTGAAAGCAAAAAATGAAATGGCTAGGGAGCATTTAATGTGTGCAGTATCCGGTTAAATCATGAATAAAATATCAAATGCAATTCTCAAAAAAGCATTTATAAGCGTTCTTAGCGCAACGTATTTTGTGTGGAAATGCATATGTAGTTGAACATCCAGTTGCAATTACAATCTAAACTTAAGAGGGAGACATTTGTTTAGTTAACATGTCCAGTGCAGTAGCCAAACAAGATTACCAGCCAAAACCAAAAACATACGATAACTGAGATCTACACTGTGGATTTGTGATCTAGGCAAGGTATTGAGCGAGCAAGCAAGCAAGCATCATTTGCAGCAAGGTTGGAAGTTACATAATTAATTTCTCTAGAGTAGCTCTTTTCAGTTTTACATTTGCCCATGATGTGGTTTTGTCACCAAATATGAAAAAGTGTAATGTTTGAAAATGACCAATGGAGTTTTTTGGTTTTGAAACTGAACTCCATAACGCGACCAAATGCTGCTGGTGTTTCTTTAAAGATAAGTCTTCAACCAGCAACGGATAGCAAGATTTGACATGTGATTAATGATAATAAAGTATATGGTAAGAGACCGTAAAAATAAAGCTGGGAGTTAATCTTGGTGGTTTTTTCTCTGGGGTCCATGAAACGCGAGGGCTTAACTCATTGACCTTAATTCCCTCGTGAAGCCATAGGCACTTGAGAAAGATTCCCCCTGGGGCAACCGCATCTACAAAAACACCATGGAAAGGTTTTTGTTTCCTGGCAACCCATGAGTATTAAACCACCCCTTGGTGGCCACCAGATTGTTACTCCTGTTAACTTGCAGCGCGCTCCTCATCTTAAAATGTTACAAAGCTGGGTTTCTCATTCCCACACTGACATATTTAGGTCAGTGTATGGCTGCCTCTACCACTGCCTTTTTAGCATTGCTCTCTGACAGTCTGTGTCCCATGCCCATGCCAAATGAGCCCACACATGGAGAGAGGGTATTCGTAACACAGCATCACATTTGAGTATCTTGATTTGCTGTTTTCTGCTTGTTCTGATCTGTAATGCTTCAGGCTTTCACAATATATTGTTGCTGCATTCTGGCAAAATTCGTTTCTGTCCACATCTCACAGGTTTCGTGGCTACGTTTAATAGTCTCAGTGTGGCTTTAGGGCTCATTGTTTTACATACCATCAGTTGACTCTCCTAATTTATGTTTTCCCAAGCGTAGCACATGCCCTTTGGAGTACGCTTTAACTCGGTTTTTTTCCCTTTGGCACACCTCACTTTGGTGTGTTCTCTTTTAATGTTCGTGTCATATTTCTACCATTTCAGGAAATATAATTTTAAGGAATGAAATTGCTACTTGTTCCAATTTGGCTGGGTGAGAGCGAACAATTCGTATCGATAATAAAATTTTACCATTTAGTGTTTTCACGTTTACCAAACCACATTCCGTACGTTTAGTTAGTGTCAAATGTGACTTTTGAAGCGATGCACGAATGAAAATCACGATTACCTAATTTTCTGGGTATCGGAATCTCTCAGGCATTGACCCAAATAATATTTTCTCTTCGGGATTTATTTTTTGCCGAGAGAAGTACTGAAGCAGCAACTGCGCACTACCGTAGACAGTACCTATGGGAAGAAAACAGTTATGTGGTTAAGATTATATAAGCTCTTAATTTCTTTCAACAGATGTCCATTAAATACATTACACGTACTGCTGTACATTCTAATTTCACACTCGGGGGGGACTACACAGCCATTTCCATATCTTAATTTTTTAAATTCCTGATTTCCCAACAAGCTGCGATTCGTGCGTTTGTGGTTTTAATGACTTATATCCCCTTGCGAATACACTTATTTGAAGCTGTATTTGATTTTTTTTTAATTGTACTCATATGCCGGGCAACTCTCTTATTTTGCCCAGTGTTACGTCATGAAGTCATGAATTCTGACCTCGGCGACATGTCAAGGTCATCAGAGGACAAATCATTATATTGAACTTGTTCTTCGTGTGGCTGATGTTGATGTAGAGCAGCACATTTGGTTGGCAGTCAAGCCAAGTTGATTGCGTCAGGAGTAGCGGAGTGTACCGCTGTGATGCCTCCTTTTGAATGAATCTGTTTTAAATTTGCAGGTGCAATCTAAAATATGCAGTGGGGGGGGGGGGCCTCCTTCCCCGCCGTGCGAGATTCATTGAACAGTCCCGAACAGAATAGTGACTGCTCGTTCATACGGCGAAGTTTGTAGCTGAGCTTTTGAAATGATTAGCAATTGTGAATAGCACACAAAAAATGACTGCCTTTCAGCACAATGAAGACTGTTCCAGAACACATTAAAGTTAGCACTTTAACGTGACATATAGCGTGGGCTGTGCTGAATGTCATGCTTTGCGATCGCAAAATGGTATTGTTCGTGTATGTTCAATCAAAATTGTTAAGCTGAAGGAGTTTAAGCGTGTCTGTCGGTTGTTTTCGTCCGGCAATTGCAGCGTCTTTGTAAATGTATTTCAAAGCTTTGTCGTATATTGCTCATGATATTTACACTGTGAGGTTTGGTGGACCATGTATTTTTTGGTAACAAAAAGAAAGAAATCTGCATTATCTTGGCTCATCTTAATTGTCGTGGTTTTTGGAGACTTGCTAAAGGCCATACATCGCTAAAAGTGTGTGTCATATTGGCAGCCATAATGTTAGCCAGCCCTGTAAACTTTGTGGCATAATATGTAGCGGCGAAGTGGGCGTGTCGATGGTATTTATATTGTAATTAACTTACCAGCACTTGGCTAATATACAAACAAGGTTATAATAAGTAAAAAAAAATCAGCTTAGTGTGTACCTTTTTTCCTGCCATAAATGATGTTGTACTCGATGTGCCTCAAGCTTCACAGATTTTAGTATAAATTTTTAATAGACTACTTTGTATTTTTGTAGGATCACTGCTTTGTGTATATTGCCAATAAGGTCATACTGTATGTTGAAGTGTATACAATGTGTGTGTATATACATAACAAGTATACATGTAGTAGTTCATATAAAATGGGTCGCAAAGAAATATGATTATAACGTCAAGGTGAACGTTTTCTTTGCAACAGTCCTTTTTCCTATGAACACACCCACAAAATATATAGTATTATCTACAGTACCGTGCTAACATGTGTGTAAGTGCGTGCTTTTACGTCCGTTAACCATGTTGATGGAACGTTGTTGACTTCTGTTCTTGCCTTGGTTGGTTAGTGGCACTGTTTGAAACCGACTTGCATTAATTTGCGTAACATTCTGGATGGGAAAGGATCATTGAACTTCGTAAATTTACGCTTCTTTGTGGCGAGACTCCCCCAATGCGCGAGCTGGGAAATATTCCCTGGGCTAAACGGCTCAAGGCAATACTTGGCCTTTGCATAATGACGGTGTAAATGATGATATAGTACAGTGGCATTTTCATGGGGGGGGGGGGGGGGGGCACAGCGCTAATCCCATTTGGCGATGGTGCCAATATAGGTTTAGTACGATGCCAAATGTTAATACAGCAAGGTTTGACCTTGTGTTGACCCCCTTGTGGGTTGTGTAACGTTTTGGTCTGCCACTGTGTAAATAAAAAGGCGATTGACCTTTGGTATTTGCGTCAAACGCAGCAGCTTATGAAAGGAGGCAGTTGGAATGTGATCTATAGTTGTTGGAGCCAATAAAGTTTGTATGTATGTGCAGTTCTTTTCTGTTTTGTTTAATATAATGATATGTTTTTTTTTGTAGTAAATTGATATTTGAATTATATTGATGCGGAGCTTCAGAGTTTTCTAGTCTAATATAATTTGAAGCATTTGTGATGAATACAAAAAATCCATATATAAGGTAATTGGTTAAAATAAACACAACCATGCCAAATGTGAGTTTTGTTTGCTTGTTACTTTTCCACAAATTGAATGTTAACAGATGTATCTGTTTTTCCATTTTATTAATAAAGGCAGTGCTCTAATCTTGACTATCAAACATCAAAGATTGAAACGCCATGGTTCTAACCAATGATAGGAGAGCATGGGATGGAGAATCCTGTGCTAATACAACAGATAATATCTTTAACGCACATTTTTGGATTTTATCCATATCCCGCACCTCCGATTATCACGGTTGGCTACGTTTGGTGCGAAAGAAGTTAAATATGCGTGCAATGTGCTTGTAATGTATTGCAACTTGTTTCTTCAGTCTGGTTTGCACATTGAACAAGCCGAACTTGTGCAGGGGATAGATAACACGTGTGGTGGAGAGTGCCACGTGGACTGCATTTGTGTATGCGATTGATATTCCACGTGCTTTAGAAAAAAATAAGTGTCTGGGTTTGAGACCAGCTCTGGCATTGTCTGAATATCTTGGTATTTTTGGATACAGGGAATAGAATATGATGGGGTTTTTTTTTTTCTTTCATATAGAGCAATCAATCCCCTTTCCTTACATTTGTCGTAAGAATTACGGGCAATATCACGCAGCAGCTAAAGAAGAGACTGGACATTGTATTCGCCTACAAACGCTGAGTAAAAGCAAATTTGCACAACTGAGTGTGTGCAAACAGACTTGTATCTCTGCACTTAATGTAAGCAATGCTGGTGCATTCACCAGTGGTGAACGTCATTTTGATGAAGGCAGTTAAGCTGTTCTTTTATAATAATGTTAAACAACTTAATAGATCTTTATAGTAAATAGAACTCACGGTGAACAACATTATACTTCACTCAATGTGGGTTGCTGTACACGTGCTGGTCTAAGTTGTACAACTCACCCATTGCCGCTTGGGTTTAAGGTGATAATTTATTGAGAGCTACGTACAAATACAACGGGCTGCGGCTGTCTGGAACGCTCTTCCCGATATTAGGAAGCCACTGGGAAGCTATGCATTTTAAAATCTACGTTGGAAAGCTCCCTTGTTTTGAACGGATTTTTGTGTGTTTAATGCGTTGTCTTTTTCCCCGCACCTTTGATTACCTGGGTTGGCTACCGTGTCGGTGCGAAAGAAGTTCAAGACAACACATCGGTGCCCGTGGTTCTTTGCAGAGAACGTTGCCATCGCGTTGTCTCCGCGCTCGACGCTTTGCAGTTGAGGGGCCGTTCCTGCCCTCACAAGTTGGGCAAACGCACGCGGGAGCGTTTTATCTGCCCGTGCCTCTGCCACATCCTCGACAACTGCTTTGCCTTGCCTGAGGCTGCCATGGGCAGATGACAAATGAGGAGGAGAACAAGAAAAACAATTGTCGGGAATGTGGATGCCTGTGAAATGGTGCAAAGACCCATCTCGTGAGAGAAGTTCTCAAATTGATTCCCCCCCCCCTCTCCCCGCCGCTGTCAGAGGACTACGGGGAAAGGTTTTGCCTCTATCCCTAAGGTCGCGACAAAGTCGTGGTGGCAAGGATCTGTCCGCAACACCCGGCTCTGGTGAACCTGTGGACAGGGCAACCGAGACAAGGAGCTCTAGAACCGTTAACTCTGTGGCTCCTACAATGGTGACTTGCGTCGATTGCATCACACGCAGCCTAACACGTGAGCCAGGATAATCCTGGCCGCATCCACGCGCGCGCAGATTCACCTCGTGCCACCGCGGGATCAGGCGAGCTCGGAGATGGAAGTGGGCTTACGGGGGGGGGGGGGAGGACGTGGCGGCTATTGGATGCCCTCGATGTTCCCGATGGAGGAGATTTTTTTTTTTAGCTGCATTGTTCCCGTCGGCGATGAATGTGGGAATCTCTACTGAAAACTCAACTTTTTTTTTTTTACCAATTAAGGCCCATTGAGTCTCTATCGTTGCTATTTTTCATAAGCGACCTGGCTCTCACAAATGATAGCTCGACGAAGTGGCTTATCAATGTGGACATTTATAGCAGCCAAACGCTCTAAATGCACTTTTCTAAAAAAGATGAGGGGAAAAAAGCGGCGAAATCTCCACGACGACGGCGAGAACACGCAGACCCCAAATATACAACAGGCGTCGTGGTCGTGGATCGCACCCACGACATCCTGTATACCAGGCGAGGTAGTGAACATCTCCTAGCCACCGTGGCGCCGTTTGGCCTGCCTGGCCCATGTAAACCGCCGGGCCATCGCAGCTTTGAACCCTCTGGCCACACGTGCGATTGAGGTGACCGCCACGGAACCTACAATTAAGTGCTTGAGCGCCTCGCCCCAAAAAGACTATCGAGCCTTTGTGCTGCTTTGAAAATGAAATTCCTGACCTGGAAGCCAGCATTCCTCATTGCCTTAATGTCTGCGATGGCAATTGGGGAGCGGCTCGCCCTTTCATCATGAGGTCCTTCCCGAGTGCTTGGTCAGGATGAAGCCTTCATCTGCCTCCACGTGTCATGCCCAGGGTGGTCAAAAGCCACTCACAGCAGCGAATCTGTTTACCATGGTTCTGATCCCCCTCACTTTACAGAACAAACAATAAAAAAGGCAACGCACACAAGTACTCTTATGTAAACTTTTTTTTATTTTACCAGGTAAGGCCCACTGCGAGATGTGTAGCTTTTTTCTCAGAAGCGACCTGACCACAATAGCGCAGCCAAGTGGCCTATTACGTGCAAATGTAGAGCAGCCAAATACTCCAAACCCCGCATGTTTCTCATGTGGAGGGAGAGGCCAGAGGACCCGGAGAAAAATCCACGCGACCACGGAGTGAGAGACAGGCAAACTCTAAATATACAACAGGAGTCAGGGTCGGGATCGAATCCACGACCTCCTGTATCACAGGCGAGGTCGTTAACATCTCCTGGCCACCGTGGCGCCCCACGGTGAACAGGGTCGTGGAGGAAGTCGGAACAGCTTTTCGTGTTGTGGGCAGAATGCACCAGGGAATGCTGGCCTTGAGCTTTTACTTAGCCGAGTTCGTTCAAGGATTGTACATCGCAATGCTACACTCTGGCAGGAAAAAAACAGCAGTAACCAAGAACGGCTCATTTCACCATTGCAAGGGCAACATCCTGAGCTGGCGTTTCCAAGCTTCTACTCGAGATGTCGGCAGACACCTTCATCAGGCATCAGTTGAAGTGTTTTTTTGAAGGGGAAGTTTTATCGACAGCGTGTGTTGAAGGTTGCTTGAGCCATCCCCATCGCCCTTCGTGCATCTCCGCCACGGATGAGTTGGCAGATAATCTATGAAAATGTTTTTATTTCGTTATTATCACAAACCTTTTTTCATAATCATCCTCGACACCCACATCAAACTCTGCCTAGCCTCCCCATGATGGCCCTCTCAAGAATGTGCCACTTAATCAAACGCCTCCTCCTCCACAAAGCATTGCCACTGGTTTAATTCAGAATCGTAAAGCTTATTTGTTAAAATGGGAGGACAATGAGACGTATAGCTGTCTGCCTAATTTTTCTTGGCAGGGCTTGATGTTACGGCAATTGTAGTTTAGCTTTGGAACGTTTAAATTCCGCGTCACACCGGTTGTGTCCCGTGACTCCGTCCAATGTTATTGTGGATGCGCCCACTCCCATTCAACAGTGCGGTGCACAACTTTCGCGACTAACACGGGCAGGCAGTGTTTGCGAGGGTGTCGCGAAGCTTCCGATGATGGCAGGATGTATCTGGGAGGGGAGGAGTCCGCTATATGTCCTGTATTGTTAATTTAGTGACGTTATCGTTGAAAAGCCTTTTGGTGCATGTATATTCGCGACCAATATACCGTACATAATACTGTACCGTTTTATTTTACGTACAGCATATTCTTAGATTAAGATAACCCATTGTAATGTATACCATTACATTAACCCCACCACCCTCTCTGATCTTCGCACCCGAAAGGCTCACCGTGATTACACCACCTTACTGAATTTAAGACGTGAAAGAGGATTTTTTTTATTTCTGGTTAATCGCCTGATGAAGCTGGTTGTAATCACCAGCGATGCGTTGTACTCAAATTGTAAATGTTGTGGGTTTACTCTCTAGCACACCGGTGCGCTGATGTCGTAACTGATTGGCACGTCTTGTTTACGTGACAAACTTTACTAATCGTCTGCGTCAGGTGGTGATGGTGGTTGAACGAAACATCTATATTTGCACCCGTACTTCTTACCAGTCAATACGAAGGTGTGCCATATATCAGGAAGAATGGCAAATGACAAAATGTGAAAAATGATCCCATGGGGAGGCATGAGGAAAGACACCTCGACAAACTACAGCGACTGCAAACAACCCGTGTCGCGCTGTCCTTGACATTAAGCGCAGCCATATAGCTTCCACAGTTTCGCGAACACTCTGCAATGCCCCCCCCCCCCCCCATGAAATCAAGGATACAATGCAAACTCGCTATCCTGTGCCACTGAGCTCTCGCGCTCTCTCTCTCTCTCAAGGTCTCCTGTCACACCTCTCCACCCTTCTCACTCCAACTGACCGCGTTTAATAATCTGCTCGCCGTCCCCGCAGAACGAGCACCGTCCCGGTTGAGCGGCGTTTGGTCGAAACTGCACAGGCAGCCGTGTGGCACTCTCTCCCACCGCACCCACCTTCAAACAGCGGCTGAGGGTGTTCATGTCCAGGCCCCCTCACCTGTCCAGGCAACCACTTGTTCAGGGAGCATAAACCATCACGCAAACGCCGGGCATTCTCGCAGCGGCTTTCGGATGTGGTCGTTGAACAAAGAACGCTCACTGCATCGTGCGGTTTCAGATGCGCTTCTTGGGCCGTCTGGAACACTCTTCCTTCAGATGTTAGGAAGCCACTCGAGCCATGCACTTTAAATCTAGATTGAAACTCATTGCTTAACAGCTGCTTTTTGTGCTTAGTTTGTTGTCCTTCCCCCACACCTCCGATTAGCACGGTTGGTTATGTACGGTGCGAAAGAAGTTCAACATACGTGCCTCCGAGTGCTCGAGTAAGCAATGCGCACGATTTGCACGCGTAGCA